AGGGACGGCTAGCGCAGATAGCCCTCGTGTAGCTTTGAGCGAAATTCAAAACAAACAAACAAACTTTCATGAGTGATATAATATTGATGTACTTAAGCGAGTACATTGGGTCATTGCATTAACAAATTTTATGCTAATATAGCTTGGTTTAGATTTCAAGTTTTCTTGGGTTTTTCCGATTTGCTAATATCAAGTTTTGTGAAATGTTGAGCAGATACTTTCAAAACAGTGTTGAAAAATACTACATATAAATGTAGAACGATAAATAAAGAACAGTTTTTTTTTATAAAAACACCACTTTTATACTGACCTAAATTAAACAGAAATGTCAAGGCTTTTGCAGTTGAAAATATTGTATCTAAACGCAGTTTTATGTCCATTTTTTATTCAAACATAGTGTAGGATGTCCGTTTTGTATGTAAATGCAGGTTATTTTGTCTATTTTGTACCTAAACGCAGAGTATTGTGTTTGTTTTGTATCTAACCATGGACTATTTTGTCTATTTAATACCTAAAAGCAGAGTATTGTGTTTGTTTTGTATTTAACCATGGACTATTTTGTCTGTTTAGTACCTAAACGCAGAGTATTGTGTTTGTTTTGTATCTAACCATGGACTATTTTGTCTGTTTAGTACCTAAACGCAGAGTATTGTGTCTATTTGATATATAAGCCCAGTATATTGATTGTGTTCAATACTTTTAATACATTAAGTCAGAGCCCAGTGATAGTAGTTACATATATTCTACAGAAATGTTGAAGTCAAATCAGAAAAAACAAAAATAAGCTGATATTGTATCATCTACGTCTGATAATTTTTTCTGGTTGTTTTTGCATTTATAAAATCTATTTAATTCCTGTGCAAATAAAAAAGTGCTCAAGTTGTCATTACAGAAGTTATATTTAGGAAATTCATAAGTTTCGGATCCATAATAAGAACGGGTTATGTTCATGATTTATAAAACTAGTTTAACTCATTATGTGCAAAGAGTGCATATGTTGTTATTGTGTTCCGTTATAATATGTTACATCAGTTCCAGGTGGCTCAGCGGTAAGATTACGGACTTACAACGCTTAAATCCGGGTTCGATGCCCAGCGGTGGACACAGCAGATAGCCAAATGTGGCTTTCCTCTAAAATAAACAGCACATTATAGTACAATGAACAGTACTACTACTAGCATACGGTAAATTTAAAAATTGGTATAACATGGTTGATTCAGAAAATATAAATGATAAAAAAGGGGATAATCAAAAAGGCAACTTGTATTTAAGAGGCACGAAGAAAGCTTGGCCATTTACCTTTCATTTTAACCTTCAAGAATGTGCTGTACGCGAAGAACAGGCATGCACACGTGTCAAACGGCTCTAAGACCTCTATAAATTCTCGTCACGTGGTCCCAGTACATTGCTCTTGGTTTTAATGTTGCCCCTGGTTATTTTACATCATTCAAGACTCCCAAACTTTCTTATTTCCCTTTACTGGGCACCCTAATAAAGATTTTTTTAAGTATGCCTGGAAACAATGTCTTGAGCTCAAATAAGATAAATTGATTTTAGTTTAATTAATTCAAAAATACAATAAAATAATTTTTACAGTAGGCAAGTTCTGAATTTAATGATTACAACATTGCGATTCATAGTAATGGGTCATTATCAGACTGCATTCTTCTTCTTCATCGGGATTCGTCCATGTTTTGGACCAGGAAGGGTCAGGTTCAGCGTAGACCTCTTCCTTCCTTACGTTTGAGTGCAACTCTTAACAGTTTGTTTGTTTTGAATATCGTGCAAAGCTACACGAGGGCTATCTGCGCTAGCCGTCTCTAATTTAGCAGTGAAAGACTACATGGAAGACAGCTAGTCATGACCACCCGCCGCCAATTCTTGAGCTATTCTTTTACCAACGAATAGTGGGATTGACAGTCACATCATAATGCCCCCACGGCTGAAAGGGCGAGCATGTTTGGTGGGACGGGGATTCGAACCCGCGACCCTAAGATTGCGAGTCGAGCTCCCTAACCATCTGGCCTTACTAGATTTTTGACAAGACTGACACCCTGCTATAACTATAGCCGACCAATGAAAACTGTATTTTAATATAAAGTTACTACAAAAAGTGAAACTCGCTGAAAACAAAACTAACTTGTTCTTTAAGATTCATTAAAAGTTGATCCGATAGTTCAATAAATAAAACAAAGAGATAAGACGACTATATACGTGTTTACCGTTAATAGTTTATACGTTGCCTTGTTCCTTCTTGATCATAAGTTCTGACACAGTCTTCTTTATTACTGAATCAACGAGCTGGACAATTTGTTTGTTTGGAATTAAGCACAAAGCTACACAATGGGCTATCTGTGCTCTGCCCACCATGGGTATCGAAACCCGGTTTCTAGCGTTGTAAGTTCGCAGACATACCGCTGTGCCACTGGGGGGGGGGGCGAGTTTGACAAGGTATTCGTTTTCCAATAACGCCTCTTTACATTAGTTACTTCTGAATTAAAAGCAAAAAACAGAACTAGCAGTTTTATAAGTTCTAGTAATGAAGATAATTATAAAATTTCCTTTAAAGAAAGAAACAAAATTATGAAATAAAAGTTTGGAGAAGGCTTGACTGGGTAAGAAAATTTTTTTTTTTTTGTAAATGTACGACGTTTCGGCAATACTAATAATATAATATAATAAAAAGTGGGTTCCTCGTCATCAAATTAAAACTAAGCAGAAGATAGTTTTATTGATCCACGAGGTTTATCACCTGCTAAAAGTTAATAAAAACTTAAAATTATGTTGTTCATTATTGAGATTTTTCTTTAGTTTTAAATTCAAGACAAAATTTTAGTTGTGCCCTTTCTATGTACTTTTTGGTGGCTGTATCTAGCTGAGTTGACTTTAAATTTTAGAAAGTTAGGTATGATATTTGCACTCTTACATTTAAAAATCATTTAAATCTAGAATACATTTATGTAATTTAAAGTGAGTTTTTTTTTACACAATCCGATATAATTACATAATATATCTACCATATACCCTCTATCCTCAGAAATTAAATTAAACAGTAGTGATCTTAGGCTTGAAGACAATATAATAAAACACTCTAATTCCCTGATGAAGAAAGGTCCGCCTTTCCAAAGCGCTCGGCTTATAGGGTTTCCTATTTTTGACTTTAAGAAACCAGTCTTATCTTTAGTTATTTATCGAAGAAAATTTTATGGTTTTGCCCTATAGTTTGAAAAGAAGTTCCTTTAAACTCTACGACTTGATAAGGTTAGGATTTTTATCCCTTAATGATAATGTCTTCCTTTGTTCATAACCACTGCTTGCTACAAACTGAAGTGATAGTTTGAATTTAAATTGGGCCATTACAAGTGGAAGTATATGCTGGATTTGTTGAAGATATAATTTTGATAATTTATTGAAGCGTTGTTTGTAACTGGCCTTTTGTACTATCATAGTTGCATATCTATACCTGTAGTCGACCAATAAGCACTGAAAGATGGTATTTAAAAACAAAAACAACAACATTAAAACAGAGTGAAACCGACAATAATCTAAAAATAGAGTAATTTACTATATACTTACTTGTTAAGAGTGACAACCCTTCATCTCCTCAAGAGCTATAAAGAGTATCATATTCTGACCAGATAAAGCGATTTTTGCACATTAAAAAGCGCTACATGTAATAGATTGTCTTTAATTTGATTACTATTGAATACCAAAAAGAATAAACCTTGACACATGTCCAATTACTTTCTTATTTGCGTTTGATTTAAAAATCATCAGTGCATGCTCCCATTCTCCTAGAGTACCACTGTTGTCTATCTTCTTAATACAAAACTCCTTTCTTTAAAGTCTTACCTACAAACACAACCTATTTCTCCAACCCTAGCTTCTTGCAGATGCGCCTTCTTCAAGCGCTACTTTTATGCATAACATATCAATTAATTTTATCAGTTAATACATAAAAATATACCCTTTTATATGAAAAACAGTTGCGAAGGAAACGAAAAGCTCATTCATAATAGATCATCTATACAGACTGATTGGTGTTTAATTATGTTAGTTCTGTAAACACTTGTAAGAAGAAAAGAGGATAACGATTAATGTAACACGACAACATATTTTCGAAAGTACAACTTATGAAAAGGT